TACGAGCCCCCGATGAGGACTGGGGTGGCTCTGTGGGCTCCTCAGGGTGGAAACTCTCCTGCAGCCCCCTGATTGACCCACCCGGATGGCAGCCTGCGGCAAGTGCAGCCGGGCTGATGGCCGAGTGCTGTGATGTGCCAAGTGTGGGCACTCAGAGCACTCCAAGCCAGGACTGCTTTGCAAGCAGGGAACCCCTGAGAACTGTCAGTCTGGGGCGGGGGTCGGGTCCCTTTAAGCACAGCCCTTGGCTAGCCTAAGACAGCAGCTCCACGCTCTAAGTCCTAATCTGATGCCCTGGTGGCACTGCTTCCGGCCATCCTTAACCTCGGTTCAGGGTCCACTCAATGTGGACATGCTAGTTCGAATTAGCAAAATGCTAATTCGAACTAGTTTTTAGGTCTAGATGCACTAGTTCGAATTAGCTTAGTTCGAATTAACTAATTCAAATTAAGTTAGTTCGAATTAGTGCTGTAGTGTAGCCATACCCTAAGGGTTTAAAAAGAGTTGTAATAGATATGTGTATTTACATACTAACTAGGATAAAAGAATGTGCTATTGGTTAATATGTTGCTCACTTGGACAGGGTTTTTGGGGCCCAAGGCAGAACATGTATCTGCAAAAAAGAAGCCCGTCTACTCCATTCGCCTCTGGGTCACTGGTTCTTTTTTTAACAGAAACATGATAACAAAGAACCCATAAAACACAGAGAGCTGTAGACCCAGGCCAGAGAAAAGAAAAAAAACCAACTCTGCCTTGAACCAGGGACAAAGGGTGAGGAATATACTTTGCAAGTAACACATTTCTTAGTATATTAGACTTCTGTTTATTTTGGCTTAGTAACTTACTTGCAATCACTTAAATCCTACTTTTTATACTTAATAAAAACACTTTTGTTCATTATCAAGCCCAGCGTAAATCATTGTAATCCAGGGAAGAGCAGCTACTCTGCATAGCTCATTTTCATTGATAAAGAGTGAGAACTTATAAAGTTTCTCTGTAAAACTTTTATACAGAGTAAGATGGGTTTATTTGGGGTTTTGGTCCTTTTTGGGGGCTGTGTTCCTGAGTAATGTCAACAGCCCAGAGCTGAGCTTGTTTAACACCTGTGTTGCTCTGCCGCAGGGTTGTTGCCCCAATTCTGTGCCATGGCTGGGGGAGACCAGAGCTACTAGCTCAGCAGAACAGGGTGGTGGGGTGCCCTAGGGCAAGCTAGGTGGGCTCAGTGGTGTGACCAACACACTGGGTGACAATCCCAAGGGGACCCCTATTATCTAGCCCATAACAAAGGGAACCTTTTTTGGGTCAAGGGCCACTGACCCCGCCCCCCAAAATCAGCTGAGGGCCACATGCAAGTGAGAAGCAACTCAGGGCTTCATGCAACTTTGTAGACCTCATTCCACGAGGAATAACACCAAATTCGAAAAAGCTATTTCAAAATGAGTGCTGTGTAGACACCCTGCTGCACCCACCACCCATGCAGACCCCCAGCTGGCCACTCTGTCCCCAACCAGCAAAATTCACTCCCTCCCCACCTTCCCTGAGCCCTTAAAGGGGTAGAGTATGGCCACAGTGCCTGTGCCACCTCCAAGTCTTCCAACCCAGAGCCAGCAGTCACTGCCCCTGACCCAGTGGCCCCAAAACATGAACCAGCAAGCCTCTGGCAGCCAGCCCTCCACCGCTCCCCAGGGGCAGCCTGCCAGCTCCCAGGAGCCTGCCAGGACCCAGAGAAGGCAGGCACCTTCCTGGTCCAGCGTGGAGATCATAGACCTTATTCAGGTTTGGGGGGGATGCCCCCAACATCCATGATCTCCACACTAGATGGAGGAACACGGCCATCTATGGCAGGATAGCTGCCAGCCTGGCCACCAAAGGCCACGTGTAAACCCCTGGCGAGACCCCAGCACTGTACCCCTGAGCTTCCCTCCCCCTTCTTCCTTTTGCTTCCCCCTTTCAGCTCCCTCCTCCCAGGTTTTCCCCTCCCCTCTCCCACCTCCTTTCCCCAGTCTCACCACCCCAGTTATGTACAATAAAGAGAGGGAGGTTTTGGCAAACGTGTTTTTATTTTACATTAGGAAGGGGAGTTATGGAGGGGTTTTCCCCTCTCACGCCTCCTTTCCCCAGTCTCACCAGAATTTCATTCCTTCCCCCCTAGTTTTGTTAAATAAAGAGAGTTTGTGTTCATGAAAATACGTGTATTTTATTTGACATCAGGAAGAGGGGTTAGGAAGGGGTAAGTGGAAGGACGTGAGGGAGGAATGAGGCACAAGCCCCCAGTGGGGCAGATCAGGGAGGCTCTTAGTGCTTCTCAGGGTAGAAGCTCTCCCGCAGGGCCTCCTGGATACTGACAGCCCCCCAGTGGACCTCCTGGATGGCAACCTACAGAAAGTGCAGCCAGGCTCGCAGCAACGCGTCCAAGAGAAGCACCAGAGTGCCCAGAGGCAGCTCTGGCTCCATGTTGCAGAGCGCTATGGTGTCCCAAGTGAGGGAAACCAGAGCACTCCGAGACACACATGCTTTGCTGTCCCTCAGCAAGGCAGGCAAGCAAGCAGGGAAACCTGAGAACTGGCTGTCCGGGGAAGACCCTTTAAGCACAGACCTCAGACAGCCTCAGGCAGCAGCCCCACACAGTAAGTACTGACCCGGTGCACTGCGAGAACTGGTTCCGGCCAGCCTTAAATGCGATTCAGAGTCCACTCAGTGTGGACGCGCTATTTCCAAATAGCAAAATGCTATTTAGAAATGCATTTTATGTGTAGACGCATTATTTCAAAATAAGCTATTTCGAAATAACACTGTAGTGTAGACATACCCAACTATACACACAAAATGTTGACATCTATAATAGCTGTTACTACTCAAGGAAGAGATCTTTGAATCACTGCAGATAGTTCTCTGAAAACATCTGCTCAGCATACAATGGCAATCAAAACAAGTTAACAAAATGCTATCAATCATTGGGAAACGATTATATAATAAAACAGAAAACATCATAATGCCCAAACATCGAATACTGCCTGCAGTTCTGGTTACCCCATCTCAACAAAGACATATTAGAATTGGAAAGGTACAGAGAAGGGCAACAAAAATCAAATGAAGAAAGATTTAAAAGACCGGAATTGTTAAATTTAATAATGAGCTGACTAAGGCGGGATGTAATAGGCTACTGCAATGTTAAATCGGAAAAAGATACACAATTTGCAGTACACTCGTTCGAAATTTGGCACATCTACATGGCACCATATTTCAAAAGAAGAAATTGTTACTCACCTTGTGCAGTAACATCTGTTCTTCGAGATGTGCGTCCCCGTGGGTGCTCCACTACAGGTGTCAGGCTCGTCCCGGCCCTGCAAACCAGAAAGTTTTCGCCAGCAGTAGCCCCCTCCGGAGGACCACGCATGCGCAGAGCGTCTCGCGGCGTTCGCGCCTTTTCTGTGTCGCGTGGTCCGACACGCCAGTTCCTCCTAGCCGGAACATCTGAAACGGAGAAAAAAAGAGCTCCGAAGCAGGGAGGAGGAAGGGTCGTGGAGCACCCACGGGGACACATATCTTGAAGAACAGATGTTACTGCACAAGGTGAGGAACAATTTCTTCTTCTTCGAGTGATGTTCCCATGGGTGCTCCACTACAGGTGAGTATGAAGCAGTCACCCAAACAGCTGGTCGTGCTTTGGAATTATCTGTGCACAGAAGAAAGAACTGCCTGAGCGACTGCTATGTCTGCAGCTTTGAGACGATCAAGGGCATAATGTCGAGCAATGTCACGTAGCGGGACGTTCTTTAGGAATGCTGTGGAGGCAGCCATACTCCTGGTTGAGTGTGCTGTTGGTGGACAGGGTAAGGGCCTGCCCCTAAGGGTGTAGCAGCGAGTGATGCAGTTAACGATATGCGACGATATACGTTGTGACGACAGTTGATGCCCTTTAGAGCGGGTTGCCACTGATAATAGTAATCATGGAGACTTCCGGAAGGGACGTGTTCTGTCCAAATAGAATGCCAACGCCCTTCTGACGTCTAATGTATGCCAGCGGGCTTCCTCAGGTGTAGCATGTAGCTTGGGGTAGAAGGTAGGAAAGACCATAGGCTCATTGACGTGGAATGACGAATTAACCTTTCGCACGAAGGCTGGGTGACATCTCAGTGAGACGCCCTGCTGAGTGAATACTGTATAGGGAGGATCGGCGGAGAGTGCCGCGAGCTTGGAGACTCGTCGGGCTGAAGTGATCGCAAGGAGAAAGGCAACTTTAATAGTGAGAGTCTGTAAATCACAAGTTGCAAGTGGTTCAAATGGTGGACAGGTAAGAGTGTCCAGTATGAGGGTAAGGTCCCATGGTTCTGAGATAGGCCTATGCGGTGGGTAG